GTAGGGATCCATGTAATTTCCACTTCAATGAATTCTCTAATGCTGTAACTTCTAGTTTGGTGAAGCACTTTTTACTATATTTTCTCAAGATCTATGCGAAAGTTGAGTAATATAAAATTTCGTGCATAAAATTTCCGACTCTATAAAACTATTTAGCGTTGGGAATTTTCACTCACAACTAAATTACTTGCTTTCGTTTTTGTAGCCAAATAAAAATAGCATAAATCCGTATTTCGAATATTGTAAGGAAAACATGAATTGTATATCACAAGAAGAATGGCCAAAATTAAAGGCTAATTATTTTAGTCTCTACATTTCATGTAGCTTACTAATTTTTGGTATTGACTTTGAATTATTCGAATTGGAGTTTCTTACTTAATTTGGATATGTATTAAAAGTTAGAGAGAAGGGAAAGGGATGTTAAGAGCATCATAGGATAAGGACAAGTGAAACAATCCTCTAACAAAGGAACAAGTCTTTGGTGCAGTTTCAATTGATCGTGGACCATGGAATTTATAACCTATCATACTCGATATACATCAATTAATTTTTTTTTTTTTAAATCCATGGTAATTTTCTTTATTTTACTTTTTTATTTATGTTCCATATATATTTCATAGTTGAATTATAAAATGACATACCACTAGTCGAAAGCATCCCACTATGTACAAAACTAAAATCTCTTAAGTTTTAACTTGTTTTCCGCCTTTTCTTACAGAAAAAAGAATCGACTTATCATTCTTCACAGTCGAACATCGTTTTCCCTATAGAATTATTTCTTAGACTGAATCCATACTCCCATTGATAAAGGAAAACATTCACCAAATTCCGTAGGGTTTTAATCTCTCTCTCTCTCTCTCTCTCTCTTTTTTTTTTTTTTATGANTCGTTTTCCCTATAGAATTATTTCTTAGACTGAATCCATACTCCCATTGATAAAGGAAAACATTCACCAAATTCCGTAGGGTTTTAATCTCTCTCTCTCTCTCTCTCTCTCTCTCTCTCTCTCTCTCTCTTTTTTTTTATGAATAATCATGTAATTATTTGTGGTTCATGAATCAATTACCCGAGACTTCACTCTTACTACTTGAGGTTGGCCTTGGTTACTAAAAAAAAATATAGTACCATATATTACTATACATTTCCCTAAACCATTTTAAGGGACCCTAAACACAATTAATGAGCTTCCAAATTGCAGAAATTAACTCTTAATAAAGTCATTTACTGACAAAACTACAGAAGGAAAAAAAGTGGTGGATTTAAACAAGGGTGGAAATGGTTCCTATATCTCACAATTAAATCAGAAAGTCACAATCAATTGAAGACTAATATTTCGCTCGAAAGCTTCCCATCGAAAACCCAAAAAGAAAAATAAAAATAAAAAGAATAGCACTGACTTCAATAATACTAGGTTAAACACCCTTTTTGTATTTTATATAAGTATAAAATGTTAAGGTTTAGGGTTCCATTTATATCCTGTTTGATTGTCACATTTTTCATGAAAAATGTCATGTCCATAGAAAAAGAATTCTATTTTGACTGTTTAATTGTAATGTAGAAATGAAAATTGAATCCCAAGATACAAACGTTTGAAGCTGTATTTTTTTTGTTTTCATGGTAAACGAATTCCTATGAGTTTGGTGAGTTTTTATTTTCCAACTAACATAAAATTTGAATTCATTTTCATCTTTGCCTATCAAACGGATCCTTAGTTTCCAAAACAAATCCATGGAAAAGGAAAATTTTCACCAATGATTTTACCATTACTAAGAAATAGTAATAATGATATCGATTAATCATTTTGTGGGGCGGGGACGTGTCGCTTTACGTGTTAGACTGATTGAATTCTAGTTTTATATCGTGCGCCCTTTTTCTCATTAGTTTCCTTCTGTCATTAATGGAAACACATGATGAAGAAATCAAACATTCGTACAATGTCCAACTGCATGATAACATCCTTTTTCTTTTTACTGTAGTAGAACTGATATACATTAGTTAATACATACATGTCAAGTTAATCCCTGTTTCTCTCTCTTGTTGAAGAAAAAAAATTTATTACAACTCACGGGCAAGCTCTTTCAAATTTTTTAAAGTTCAAAAAAGGGTATCCACAAACCTATATTTATATAGAACAAGCCAAAACAAGAACATAAAACCATCTTGACAGGCCTCAGTACAAGTTGTGGTGGAGATCCATTTTCTTTCATTGAAAAACTGCGACAAAAATCAAACTAACGCATTCTACACTTATTGTTATCTGTTCGGTCTTTTCACTGAAAGAAGGGAAAGAATTTGCTGGCCGGAAGGACCTCCAACTCTGCATGCAAAAGAATTGAATCTATACATAGTTTATACAGTATCTACATAGATATACTATATATAGTTGAGTTTCATCTAACTCTGGATTAATGCTTGCTGTGTCGCCTTTGAGGAACAGTACTAACAATGAAAGGGAAAGTGAGATGGAGGCTTTCTCCATGGGAGGTGATGAGTTCCCTGATATTTCCAGTGGGAATTTGCTTGACAGTATTGATTTTGATGATCTTTTTGTTGGGATCAGCGATGGAGATTTGTTGCCTGATTTGGAGATGGACACTGAAATTCTTGCTGAATTTTCAATTAGTAGTGGTGAAGAATCGGAGATTAACTCATCAACTCCTGTATCTGTGTCAATTGAGAAAGTGGATGATGGCCGGGTCGAAAAATCAGCCTCGGATGCTGGTTCGGAGTCGAGCTGCTTGATTCTTGGAAAGGAAAATGTGAGTAAAAGGGAAGAATCAGCTGTAGTTAATCAATCTCACAAGGAAGCTGATAAAAGAAGAAAATCATCGGCACAATCGAAAAATCAACCGGGCAAGAGGAAGGTGAAGGTAAATAATATCCAATAGTTTTAGGGTTAGATTTTATGTGTCCATATATTGAAGTCACTTTTTGAATCAAAAGCTAAATGGAATTTAAATCTCTTTCATATTTATAGTTTTTCACAAACTTCATGGGAAGAAACACTCACGGGAATCAGCTTCTACTGAACCCAGTCCTCAAGGGTGGATTCAATTTTTTAGGGCACCACGTATACAACTTCTATAATTAGGTAGCGGTGAAAATTGGATATATAGATTATTTTACTTGCTCCGATGTCATTTTATGTACCTTTTTGCGAGTGAGAGACAAAGTTTTATGGCTTTTTATGCATACAGATTTAACTCGTATTTCAAGAAAAGATGAACAGTTTTCTTGAACGACGTGTAGGTGGATTGGACACCAGAGCTACACAGGCGTTTTGTGCAAGCAGTGGAGCAACTGGGTGTGGATAAGGCTGTGCCTTCAAGGATTTTGGAGCTTATGGGGATTGATTGCCTCACTCGCCATAACATTGCCAGCCATCTTCAGGTATTCATGTGAATCTAAATACTTCAATTTCTTCTCATGTTTATGCTTAGGATTTGTTCAAATTTTCTTGTTCTTGTGTTTTGTATTCTCTTTATATATTTTCGGCTTTCTTTTACATATGGAATTGAAATTTCCATCTAATATTATAGGGCTAGATCTAGTTCTAGAGCATGGTGACTGTGCTTAAATTAGCTCTATTTTGCACTTAGAAAATTGTTTAACCAGTTTCAACACATGTATACAGCATCCAAGAATCAAAATGCACTAGATGTTGAAAGAACATAGAAAAGTTTGGCATTGCATGATATATTTCTTGTCCTTTAACTATTTCAATTTGTCTCGAAGTCAGAGGTAATTTCCTCGATGAAAACTTTTACAATTTCACCTCATAATAACATAATTATTTTCAAGATTGGATATTCTTACAAAGAATGTTAGATCCCTCATGATATTTGAAAATTTGTGCTTCACTTGTACTGGTAATGTCAAAACTCCTACAAATTAATCAAGAATTATGGATTCTCTCAAATGGAGAAATGAAAATATGAACATATAGAAAAGTGGGTTTAATTCAAATAGCCACTTTATCATGTATAATATGTGGATTCCAATTATTTCAGAACAATTAAAACAAAAACAGTCTACAGTGCATAAGCAATTAATTAACAATAAGCCTGCTGAAAGTAATTTTCTTTGAATTATGCAGAAATATCGATCACATCGGAAACACTTGCTGGCTCGAGAAGCTGAAGCGGCAAGTTGGAGCCAGAGGCGGCAAATGTACGGCACCACCGCAGGCAGGGCAAGGAAGAGAGATGTGAACCCTTGGCTTGCACCCACCATGGGATTCCCTCCAATTACACCAATTCCACATTTTAGACCTTTGCATGTATGGGGTCACCCCTCGGTCGACCAGTCCATGATGAACATGTGGCCTAAACATTTAGCCCCTTCGCCGCCTCCTCCAACCCCACCGCCAGCTTGGGTACCAGCTCAACCACCTCATGCACCACTGCCGCCGGCTGCAGACCCTTTTTGGCTTTCCCACCACCAACATGTAAGTGCATAAGACGCAAACCTTCGAATTCATTAAAGTAATAATAGCATGACACTTCGAATTCGATATTAATTTTTTTTTTTTCACTAACAAGTGGGAAACTTATGAGAAGTTACAATGCCCATCACAAAATAGTTCACCTACACACTTCCATCGAACCTCTCTAATGGCATTGTTTTTTTGTCTTTACGTGTAGATTCCAACACCAGGAACGCCTTGTTTTCCACCACATATGCCACCTGCGGTAATAATTCAATGTTTAGTACTCTTTTGTAGCGTTTTCAATTGTATCTGTACTTGGTTTGGAGATGACTAACTCCAATGAATTGATGATAGCAGAGATTTCCGAGTACACCGGTCCCCGGCATCCCACCACCTGCCATATACAAAATAGACCCCGGTGTTGGTGTCCCGCCAGTACCCTCTGGACAAACACTGCCTCAGCCTCCATTGGATTTTCACCCTGTGAGGTTTCTTTCCCTTTGTTTCCAGTGGATTCTTACAGCGAATCATTGAATGATTTATATTATGAATTTTCTTATTTATTCTTTTCACGTGAATATTGTAACAGTCAAAGGAGAGTATAGATGCAGCCATTGGAGATGCTCTATCAAAGCCATGGCTGCCACTTCCGCTTGGATTGAAGCCTCCATCCACTGATAGTGTTATGGTGGAACTGCAACATCAAGGAATATCAAAAGTACCACCATCTTGTGCTTGAATTTTTCGAGCCAAACCCCTCAATTTGACGACATTTCCAGCACGGATCGATGAAAGTAATCGTTTAATTTTTCTTGTCTTTTTTCTCCCTTTTTGTTCTTGTTCTTGTACGCTAGAACTATGCATATTATCAAACATGGGACATTAATTTTTGTAATGTTAATTATCATATGTATGAGAGTGTTTTCACGGCAGGAACCTTGAATCCTATTGTAACATTTGCCTTTTTGGATGTCCCATCGCAATATTCATATTATCGTTGCATTCATAGTTAAAGAGTAGATTCTGACTATATATTGACTCGACCAAATCACCGAATATCAAGTTCAAAAGGATACGTACTTGAATGCTTTTTACCATGAACATGAGAACTAAGTACAAAATTATAAAATATTTCATTTGAAAATTTTATAAGCAATATACGACCCCGTTTGAGATTGATTTTCGGGGCCAACCTCCGATTATCAAATAATCAAAAGTTGTTTTGAGAATCATCAAAATAATATCTTTTTTATCTTTTCCACTTATTCATTAGTAAATACCAATTAACCTCAATTAATTAAAGTAAATCGTTTTATGTCCTATATTTATTAATATTCCAATAATAAAGCATCTTTCATTCCATAGTTCAAGTTAAAGATAATTAAATTTATCTTATGTTTTTTCTTATTCTATGAATGGAGAAAAGTTGAGAACTGAACTGCGGGAAGTCTGATGCATAAAAGAGAAATTAAGTTTATTTGAATATTTTTCAACTATATTGGTTATGCTTTTGTTTTGTAATTTTATAAATTCTGAAATTTTAATATATTTTAATATATTTTTTATTATTATTTCAGCACAACTACATATGATTATCTTAAAAGTACAATAATATACCCCTTCGGGGGTAGCCGAGTTGGTGGAGTAGGTGAACGCGGAGACCAAAGGTCACGAGTTTGAATCCCCTGTCAACACTTTTTCGGTCGAGTCCGTCGCACCGGGCTTGCCTAGTGCAATTTACCGCTCTTGTGTGGTTTGCTGGCTATTACACATGGAGCGGGGTTTATTTAGTGCGCACTCACTGTGATCGGACCTCCGCCCCTTCGGAATGGTCGAGGCTCCGCTGGCAAGTAGCGCATGTGGGTTCCTACGTCAACAAAAAAAAGTACAATAATATCAAACTAGCTTACATTATCTTTAAAAATATTGTAAGATTGTCCCTTCACAATATTAGAAAATTTCACCGCAAATAACCATTAGAAAAAATGCAGTCAATCCATAAAAAAAAATATAGGATAAGGACAATCGTTAAATTTATCGACCAATGAGAAATTTANTTTAATATATTTTTTATTATTATTTCAGCACAACTACATATGATTATCTTAAAAGTACAATAATATACCCCTTCGAGGGTAGCCGAGTTGGTGGAGTAGGTGAAGAACGCGGAGACCAAAGGTCATGAGTTTGAATCCCCTGTCAACACTTTTTCGGTCGAGTCCGTCGCACCGGGCTTGCCTAATGCGGTTTACCGCTCTTGTGTGGTTTGCGGGTTCCTACGTCAACAAAAAAAAAGTACAATAATATCAAACTAGCTTACATTATCTTTAAAAATATTGTAAGATTGTCCCTTCACAATATTAGAAAATTTCACCGCAAATAACTATTAGAAAAAATGCAGTCAATCCATAAAAAAAAATATAGGATAAGGACAATCGTTAAATTTATCGACCAATGAGAAATTTACCCTAATTGTGGAGAAAACCGATTTAAAAGGCCCAACGAATATGCTAGCAGAATCAAACTCAATAATATCATTTTCGTTTTCTTTTAAGGGTAAAATTGGGTGGTCCCCGAACTTCGCATTCTATCCGAATATTTCTCTAAACTTTAAAATGGATTTCGCTAGTCATTTAACTTGACAAGGTTACGATGTTGACAAGAAGGACCAAGTATGTTTTGAAGTTTAAGAACGTTTTTCGCAGAGAATTTTTTAGTTTGCTTTTAGTATTAGGAACTTGTTAAATAATTGTTTTCCTTAACTTTTTATTAATTGCTTATTTTTATTGAGAATGAATTTTTGGAGCGTCGTTGCCTTATCTTTTTATTATTGGACCGTTGTTTCATTGCTACCTTATTTTTAAATTGGGTTGTTTTTTACTTTATTGTCTTACTATTGAATAATTTGTATTGTTATTACCTTGTCGGTTTAATGTTGGATTGCTTTTGCCTTATCTTTCTATTATTGGATCACTGTTGTTGTCTCTTCTCACTTTTTTATTTCTTTAAGAATTTACCAAAAAAGGTCAACATTCTATCAAGAGAGGAAAGACCTTGTTTTCATTTTCTAAAAAGACTATGTCAATCTAGTCAAAGTACACTTCATGATGGATTGATCGAAGATCAACTTTCAATTCCCATCATGAAATTAATATCATCCAATTTCACCTCAAAAGATTGAACATGAGTGAGTATCAACTCTAGAATTACAACCATGTAAATATCGAACTGAATCCAAAAAAAAGAAAGAAAATGGCACTACATTCATTTTGCATGATTGAATGGCCATATTTAATACGAGTTTTAATCGAAGTCAAATTTCAATATTGTGAAAAAATAAAATTGACTAGTTCGAAATATAAATTAATACGTGAAGAAAAACTCTTTTTGAAGCCTTGTAACATTTTTGCAGTAGATTTGCATTACGGCGAACCTATACTCGGATGAAAAGTACATCGAAATTAAAAGTGCAATGAGCCACGAGGATGTTGTACCTACAAACACTGCTTTTGTGTCCTTATTCCAATTAATTAAGTTTTGAATAATATAATCTCTTAAAATATAACAAATTTTTAGTCTTAAAGAGGAAAAATATTACAGCCACACAGTTCAAAGATGGACCAGTAGAATGTTTTGGAAGTACTGAAAAGTCCAATCCAACTTTTAAAGCGACTGACTTTTGGACGCGTCGGCCCACTGCACGAGCACATGGGAACGAGCCTCAATTCTTTGGCCTTGTTAAAAATCTCCCCCCACTTACCTCAATTTAAATTAGCTAAAAATTAGTTTTTTTTTTTAATAAAGTTATTAAGACATATAATTGAAATATTGATAAAAGTTATGATTCTTACAAAATGTAAGATCGAAAATCGATTTGAGAAAAAAATGAATTTTAGAAAATAATAATCATCAATCCTCTCCCTCCATAACCCTCGACAAATTATTTGAAGTTTTTTGAAGTGAAAAGTGAATTCCTAGATAAATTTCAAATATATTTTAAATTTTTTTGTTTACAGTAAATTTAAATAGAAAAATTATCGACAGCCAATATTTTCTCAGGTCGATCTTCCCCATTTTTTTTCCTTGAACCTCTCGTTTTCGATGGTGAGAATTTATTGACTATGGAAATTCTTTTTTGAGTTTTCGTTTATATTGAATCGTCGCTCGTTTTTGCTCAACTTGTGAAGTTGTCCCTTGTGGCTATTTTTATAGGGGTGTGGACCAAACGTGTGTGACACATTATCCTTTTGGGCCACATTGTCTCAAATACATAGGGGGGAAAATTTATTTCTCCTACTTTATCTTTACC